GTTCCTTTTATTAGTGTGCTCGACAGTAGAGTCCCATTTTATCTTTTAATTTACAAATTTGCTCGTCAGTGGAGACCCTTTTTCTCAATTATGAGCCCCTTTCTTAGTTTGTTCGTCAGTAGAGTCCTTTTTCCTCATTTCATTAGTTTGCTCGTCAGTAGAGTCTCATTTTTTGGTCTAGTAGGTCAAAAATAAGTTTGTTTGCCAGTGGAGTCCCCTTTTTTATATTTTATTTAAGTTTGCTCATCAGTAGAGTCCTTTTCCTTATTTCATCAGTTTGCTGGTCAGTAGAGTCCTTTTTTGGTCTAGTACGTCAAAGTTGTATAAAAAATAAGTTAAGTTTGCTCGTCAGTATAGTTTCTATTTCTGCTATATGAGTTTGCTCATCAGTAGAGTTTTTTTCTTTATTTTGCTCGTAGAGTATTTTTTTTTTAATTTGTTCATCAGTAGACTTCTTTTTCATCTTCTAATTTACAAATTTGCTCGTCAGTAGAGTCCCTTTTTTCGTCTTGAGTTCTTTTTTTGGTACAGTAGGTCGAAATTAACTTTGCTCGTCAGTAAAGTTCCTTTTTTGCTATATTAATTTGCTCGTTAGTAAAGTCCTTTTTTCAATTATGTCCATAGAGTCCCCTTTTTTAGTTTGCTCGTCCATAGAATCATTTTTTTCTTCTAATTTACAAATTTGCTCATCAGTAGAATCTATTCCTTTGTCTTGAGTTCTTTTTTGGTGCAGTAGGTCGAAATTTAGTTTGCTCTCCAGTAGAGTCCTCTTTTTTAACTTCCCGTAGGGCAAGTTATAGTAATCGCAAAAAAATCGAAAATGAAAATTTTTATATATCTTTACGTTTCAGAGGTTTCTGAACATTTTGGCATACCTTAGAAAAAATGGATGTATGTTGTGTGTGTGGGTGTGTGTGTGTGTGTATGTATGTATGTATGTATGTATGTGTGTGTATGTATGTGCGGATACAAATTTCGTCGACGATTTCGGGAACACGGATCAACCGATTTGAATAATTCAAAAAAACATTCGATCCGTATCGACGTGATGAGGGAGACGTGCTGATTAGTTTTTGGCAAAGGCAGGTCAAGCCGTTCCGAAGATACGGGGCAAAAAGTTCCGAAAACGGGCAACTCAGTTTTAAGAGAACGGAGCGTCCGATTTTAATAATCAAAAAACATTTTATTTGTATTGACAAGATGAAGAATCGATACAACTTTCATGAAGGTAGGTCCAGCGGTTTCGGAGATAGGAAGGAAAGGAAAAAGTAAAAAAATGAGCCATTTGGCGGTCAAAATGATCATTAGACATATGCAAATCAAATTATCAGACAATTTTATAGAGATTTTAACAATAAGTATACATTTTGTTAACATTCCTATCGGTTCCGTACCAATACTTATGCGTTTAGACAGCGACGCGGCGCTTACGCGCTTTATATTTTGTCCCTATGTAGTTAAAGCAGTACGATTGCTTTGAAAAAAAAGGTCAGATCTTCCACAATATGTCAAAATAAAGAAAAAAAAAAGTTTTTTTTCAAAAAAAAAAAAATTTAAAAAAAAAAAAAAATTTTTAAAAAATTTTTTTTTTCAAAAAAAACTAATTTTTTGTCCAATTATAGTTTCTCAAAAATCTTATTTTTCAAAGTAATTTTTTTTCAAAAATGTTAATCGTTTAAAAAAAAAATAATAATTTTTGGTAGGCGGGAAGTTACAGCAATTTGCCTTAGGCACGATGCCCTAATTGCCTTAAGACAGAATTCCACTTACAGCTAGTTTCTATTTTGTTCACAATGTTTCTTTTTTTAGTTTGCTCGTCAGTAGTCCTTTTTTATCTTCTAATTTACAAATTTGTTCGTCAGTTTTTTCTCAATTATGAGTCCCCTTTTCTTAATTGGTTCGTCAGTAGAGTCTTTTCCCTTATTTCATTAGTTTGCTCGTCAGTAGATTCCCTTTTTGTGGTCTAATAGGTCAAAAATAAGTTTTAAGTTTGCTCGTCAGTAAAGTTTTTTCTGCTATATTAGTTTGCTCATCAGCAGAGTTTCTTTTTCTAAATTTTGTTCATAGAGTCCCTTTTATTAGTTGGCTCGTCAGTAGAGTCCCTTTTCATCCTCTAATTTACAAATTTACTCATCAGTGAAGTCCTTTTTTGGTGATAAAGATCAAAATTAAATTTGCTCGTCAGTAGAGTCCCTTTTCGTTTTGTAAGTTATAATTAAGTCGCGTATTTTTTATATTCTAGTTTGCGAATAGAGTTCCTTTTAATTATTGTTTTGGTGTGCTCGTCAGTAGAGTCCCTTTTTATTAACTCTCTGAAGGAATAATTCAAATCGGATACTCCGTTCTCTCAAAAACTCTCTCTATTTTCTGCATTCTTTGCTCTTTATCTCCGTAACTGCTGGACCTGCCTTTGCCAAAAACTAATCATCACATCTTCCTATCAATAAGAATCGATTATTTTTTGAATCAGCCAAATCGGTTGATCGATGCGCCCGAAATCGTCGACTTAAAGTTGTATCCACACCTACACACATATATCCATGTTTCCTTGGGTATGCCAAATGTCAGAAACCTCTGAAAACGTAAAGATATGCAAACTAGCTGTAGTGGAATTCTGTCTTAAGGCAATTAGAGCATCGTTGCCTAAGGCAAATTGCTGGAACTTTCCGTACCAAAAATATATCTTTTAAAAAACGATACAATTTTTGAAAAAAAAAATTACTTCGAAAAAAAATAAGATTTTGAGGACGGAGAAACTATAAATTGGACAAAAAATTAGTTTTTTTTGAAAAAAAAAATTAAAAAAAAAAAAATTATTTTAAATTTTTTTAAAAAAAAAAAAGTTTTCTATATTTGCATATTTTGGAAGATCTGAACTTTTTTTCAAAGCAAAAATCGTACTGCTTTAAATGCATAGAGAAAATATAAAGCGCGAAGCGCCGCGTCGCTGTCTAAGGGTAAACCATGGTACGGAACCCATAGGAATGTAAACAAAATTTTACTTATTGTAAAATCTCTATAAAATATCTGATAATTTGATGTGCATAGTCTAATGATCATTTTTGACCGCCAAATGGCTCATTTTTTTACTTTTTCGTTAGATCTCCGAAACCGCTAAAACCTGCCCTTATAAAAATTTGATCAAATCTTCATCTTGTTAATACAAGTAAAAAATTTTTTGAATTATTAAAATCGGACGCTCCGTTCTATTAAAAAACTGAGGTACCGTTTTTGGCACTTTTTGCCGCATATCTTCGGAACGGCTAGACCTACCTCCGCCAAAACTAATCAGCACGTTCTCTTATCAATACGGATCGAATGTTTTTAAAATTATTCAAATTGCTTCATTCGTGTTCCCGAAATCATCGACGAAAAATTTGTATCCGCACACACATACATACCACGCACACACACACACATACATCCATTTTTTCTAAGGTATGCCAGAATATTCAGAAACCTCTGAAACGTAAAGATCTATAAAAAATTTCATTTTCGATTTTTTTGCGATTACTATAACTTACCCTACGGGAAGTTAAAAATTTCAATTACAATAACTTACCCTACGAGAAGTTAATAATACCAATTTATTATGTAAGAAATATTATGTATTTAAACAAAACGATGAGATACATTAAATGAAATGAAAACTATCAATGCTTCGTGCTTCAACATGTAAAAGAGTAACATATAATCACATTTTTTTTTGATCAAATAGATCTAACAATTTTTTACAATTTATGAAAATATTAATTAAATTAATTCCCAATCCTCTCGATTTCGTCAGAATCTTCCGCGTCTAAATACAGAATTTTTCTACCGAAATGATTCTCAATGTCTCGGCAAACTTCCATTGCTTGAGGCGAATCGATTAAGTTTATTGCGATACCAGATTTACCTGGAAATAGAAACAGAGATAATAGAATATTATAATAGAAATATATTTGTAAGGTTTGATTGTAAATGAATGATTTATACATACCGAAACGTCCAGTTCTGCCAATACGGTGCAGATATGTCTCGTAGTCTGGTTTCTTGTGCATATCCACGGGCATGTCGAAGTTTACAACGATCGTCACTTGTTCGATGTCGATTCCTGGGAATAAAATAAAAATTATAATATATATATATATATATATATATATATATATATATATTTCGATAGATAAGTCTTGGACTTTTAACTTCCCGTAGGACAAGTTATAGTAATCGCAAAAAAATCGAAAATGAAAATTTTTATATATCTTTACGTTTCAGAGGTTTCTGAATATTTTGGCAAACCTTAGAAAAAATGGATGTTTGTGTGTGTGTGTGCGTGTGTGCATGTATGTGCGGATACAAATTTTCGTTGACGATTTCGGGAACACGGATCCACCGATTTGAAAAATTCAAAAAACATTCGATTCGTATTGATAAGGACACGTGCTGATTAGTTTTTGGCGAAGGCAGGTCTAGCCGTTCCAAAGTTACGGGGCAAAAATTGCCTCAGTTTTTAAAAGAACGGGGCGTCCGATTTTAATAATTCAAAAAACATTTGACTTGTATTGACAAGATGAAGAATTGATCAAATTTTCATAAGGGCAGGTCTAGCGGTTTCGGAGATCTAACGAAAAAAGTAAAAAAAATGCCATTTGGCGGTTAAAAATGACCATTAGACATATGCACATCAAATTATCAGATATTTTATAGAGATTTTAATAATAAGTATAAATTTTGATTACATTCCTATGGGTTCCGTAGCAATGCTTATCCGTTAGACGGCGTCGCGGCGCTTACGCGCTTCGATATTTCGTCTCTATGCAGTTAAAGCAGTATGATTGCTTTGAAAAAAAGTTTAGATCTTCCAAAATATGTCAAAATAAAGAAAACATCTTTTTTTTCGAAAAAAAAATTTTTTCATAATTTTTTTTTTGGTACGGGAAGTTCCAGCAATTTGCTTTAAGGTACGATGCCTTAATTGCCTTAAGACAGAATTCCACTTACAGCTAGTTTCAATATATTGATTGTTTCTTTTCTGAACAGTAAATCCAATAATAATAAACATTTTGTTTTTTTGAAGATATTTAATAACGACGTTTCGGAACTAGATACGTTCCATCATCAGGTTTATTCTGTCAAAGACAATGTTTTTTTTAATTTTTATATAAAAAACCTATTTTAGTTACTTTTCTTCACACTGGTACAAAATCCATTCCTTTATAATTTTTCTAAATAATCTGTAATGACCATCATTAATTAATGTTAATCAATAGTTTTTAAAAAACATTTTATTTGACAGAATAAACCTGATGATGGAACGTATCTAGTTCCGAAACGTCGTTATTAAACATCTTCAAAAAAAAACAAATGGTTTTTTTTATTGGATTTACTGTTCGGAAAAGAAAAAATATATTATATATATAATATATATATATATATATATATTATATATATATATAGGCACTTTTATTAATTTTTATTAATTTAGGCATATTTTTTATGGCAAAACAACGTTTGCGGGTAGCTAGTATATATATATATATATTATATATATATATATATATATATATATATACGAGGTCTGTTCAAAAGTTTCCGGAATTTTCGTTTTTTTCAAAAAAAATTTATTTATTCGTCTACATAATGTGGTCCCCTTCAAAGTAGTCCCCCCAGATATAATACACTTATGCCAGCGTTTTTTCAATTTTCGAAGCACCCTTGATATTCACTTTTTGATAGTCTTGAGCACTCTCAGCGATTCGGCCTTTATTTCTTCAATCGAGAGGAAAACCCCGTCTTTCATGGGTCTCTTCAACTTTGGGAATAGGGAAAAAGTCACACGGAGCCATATCTGGTGAATTTTTGCACTTTGCAACACTTTATTTCATTTTTTACGCAAATTTAATACAAATTCTTTGATTTTCAATTCTTCCATTGTAAAAATCGCCGAGCTCAGAAAAACACGTCGAACCCTTAGCGACTACCACAGACAAGTAAACAGTGAATATAGCTGAAAATTTCATCATCCTACTTAGGGGCATGTATACCAACACAATAAAAAAAAAATTTTGACAATCAGACACTCCAGACCCGCGAAATTTAATTATTAGTACTTTCCGGGTACTTTTGAACACACCTCGTATATATATATATATATATATATATATATATATATATATTATATATATATATATATATATAATATCTATAATTACCTCTGGACAGCACGTTTGTTGTAATCAAAACTTTTTCAACCCCACTCCTAAACCGGTCAAGAACATTTATCCTTTGTTCGACTGTAAGTTCACCAGACAGAACTGATACAGAATGTCCATCTTCACACATCTTTTTGGCGAGCCATGATGCAGTTTTACGGGTCTGAAATAAAAACCAACTTTTAGTAAAAGAAATATAGTTATATTGCAAACATAGTCATTATTAACTTCCTATAGGGCAAAAGTTATAGTAATCGCAAAAAAATCGAAAATGAAAATTTTTATATATCTTTACGTTTCAGAGGTTTCTGAATATTTTGGCAAACCTTAGAAAAAATGGATGTTTGTGTGTGTGTGTGTGTATATGTGTGTGAGCGGATACAAATTTTCGTCGACGATTTCGGGAACACGGATGAAGCGATTTGAATAATTCAAAAAGCATTCGAATCGTATTGATAAGGAGGCGCGCTGATTAGTTTTTGGCGAAGGCAGGTCTAGCCGTTCCGAAGATACGGGGCAAAAAGTGCCAAAAACGGTAACTCAGTTTTTAAGAGAACGGAGCGTCCGATTTGAATTATTCAAAAAACATTTTACTTGTATTGACAAGATGAAGAACTGATCAAATTTTCATAAAGGCAGGACTAGCGGTTTTGGAGATCTAGTAAAAAGAGTAAAAAAAAAAAGCCATTTGGCGTTCAAAAATGATCATTAGACATATGCACATCAAATTTTCAGATATTTTATAGAGATTTTAATAATAAGTATAAATTTTGATTACATTCCTATGGGTTCCGTAGCAATGCTTATACGTTAGACGGCGGCGCGGCGCTTACGCGCTTCGATATTTCGTCTCTATGCAGTTAAAGCAGTATGATTGCTTTGAAAAAAAGTTCAGAATTTCCAAAATATACGCGTATAAAATAGATTTTCAACAAAATCACAAATATGTTGTATTGAGAAAAAATAAAATGTTTAAAGTTTGATAAAACAAGGCAAAGCACATTTGTTTCAAGTTCACCCCTCCTACTTACGTGGCAGAATATAATAGCCTGTCCAACCGATATAACTCCATATATATTCGTGATAGCGTTATACTTCTCATCTTGATCCGCGCACTTCACATAGTACTGTTTAATATTTTCCAGAGACTCTTCCTCTCGTAATAATCGAATAACTAATGGGTTGGGAATGATCATTTCTGCAAATTCCATCACAGCCTGGTCGTACGTTGCAGAGAACAATAACATTTGGCAATTGGGCGAAAGCTCCCTGAAATAATAAATACAAAATTATATAATAGATTGAATACAAGATAAAAAATTATTAACTTCGCGCAGGGTAGTTATAGTAATGGGCCGAAAATCGAAAATGAAAATTTTTATATATCTTTACGTTTCAAAGGTTTCTGAATATTTTGGCATGCCTCAGAAACTAAATGGATGTGTGTGTGTGTGTGTGTGTGCGTAGTATGTATGTGTGTGCGGATACAAATTTTCGTCGACGATTTCGGGAACACGGATGAAGCAATTTGAATAATTTAAAAAACATTCGATCCGTATTGATAAGGAGACGTGCTGATTAGTTTTTGGCGGAGGTAGGTCTAGCCGTTCCGAAGATACGGGGCAAAAAATGCCGAAAACGGTAACTTAGTTTTCAAGAAAACGGAGCGTCCGATTTTAATAATTCAAACAATATTTTACTTGTATTAAAAAGATGAAGAATTGATAAAATTTTCATGAAGGCAGGTCTAGCGGTTTCGGAGATCTAGTGAAAAAAGTAAAAAAAAAATGCCATTTGGGGGTCAAAAATTATCATTAGACATATGCACATCAAATTATCAGATATTTTATAGAGATTTTAACAATAAATATTAATTTGGTTTACATTCCTATGGGTTCCGTACCAATGTTTACGCGTTAGACGGCGACGCGTCGCTTACGCGCTTTGATATTTTGTCTTTATGCAGTTAAAGCAGTACTATTGCTTTGAAAAAAAGTTTAGATCTTCCAAAATATATCAAAAATAAAAAATACATTTTTTTTTCAAAAAAAAAAAATTAAAAAAAAAAAAAAAAATTTAAATTTTTTTTTTCAAAAGTAATTTTTTGTCCAATTTATAGTTTCTCAAAAATCTTATTTTTTCGAAGTAAAATTTTTTCAAAAATGTTAATCGTTTTTTAAAAAAATAATAATTTTTGGTACGGGAAGTTCCAGCAATTTGCCTTAAGGCACGATGCCTTAATTGCCTTAAGATAGAATTCCACTTACAGCTAGTTAACTTCTTCAAATGATTCAAAGAACTTTCTGCTTGTTTCAACAAAATAATTGCTTTTGGAAAAAAAGAATTTGTTTCTAATTTTTTTTTTTTTTCAAAAAATATTTTTGTAATTTTGGATTAAAAATTCAAAAAATTACCCAGGCTAAGCACAGTCTAAGCGCCACTCTGGTGCAAATGTTCACCCAAGTGCGTTTAGACTGTTTATGTAGAGTACTTTCCCAATTTTGTGAAAACTATTGAAAAATGTGAAAATGCCGCCAAGTTAAGCACGATATAAGTGAAAATGTCGCACAGAATTATTTGCAAATGCGTTTAGTCTGTGACTATGCGGGAGCACTTTTTCAATTTTGTGCAAATTAGGCAACTTAGTTATTTTTTTGAAATTGAATTCGAAATGAAATGACGATTGTTAATGTAATAATTGATTTATGATCTACATTTGATTTGCTCAGATATAACAAGATAGCAAAAATAATGAAACAATTACAGTATTTGTAATAATATATGTATTTGAAAACATTTAAAATTTCTCAAATATTTCATCACGGTACGGGAAGTTCCAGCAATTTGCCATAAGGCATGATGCCATACACCACTAGTTTATTATTATTTATTCTATTTTTACCTATGAAGTCGAATACACTGATCTTGATGTCCTTGCGTCGAAATCATGACATCAGCCTCATCCAGAACAAACACTGTAACCTTCTTGATATCGAAAGCGGAAAACTTCAATGCCCAATCTAATAATTTGCCGGGCGTACCGATCAATATGTGGCAATTTAGTTTGTGACCTCTGGGAACTTCTTCTCCACGAACTGCATAACGAATTGATATGTTGGGACAGAACTGGCTCATTTGTGCGGCCACTTCACCTGTTTGTATGGCTAATTCGTAGGTGGGATTTAGACATACGACCTAAAATAATAAGTGATAAGCACTAAAATTAAAGGAAATAGAAGTAAAATTAAGGGAAATAGAAGATTGTTACCTGTGGGTAGTTCTTTGAGGTATCTACACGACTCAGCATGGCTAACACAAAAGCAGCAGTCTTTCCAGTACCACTTTGAGACTGTGCTATCATATTCTGTGGAGGATCGGCTAATAACGCAGGCAAGGCTGCTTCCTAATAATAATAAACAAAATCAGTAACATAAGTATTATTTATTTATTTAAATATATAGCCCACAGATTTCTCCAAGAGGACTCAAAAATACAGTTATTTTACATAATGAATAAGAATTAAAATATATACAAATTTACAATATATAGTTATCAACATAAAATGTTTAACATAAAATTACATATAATGCAGAATGTAACAATATTATTTATGAACAGAACAAGATAAAATAATGAGATATTTGAAAAGAAAATAAAAAGGTTAACTTGTGCAGATGGATATTATTCGATTATTAGGTGAAGTGTTGTGAATATCTATTTCATTATTAATTAAGTTAAAGTTAAAGTTAGAGGACATAAGTAAAATAGACAAATTTAAGAGAGAATTAGATTTAGGAGTAGGATAATTGAAAAATAATTGGGAACGCATAGATAGCCTTGGAACATTAAAGGATAGTTGTTTAAGAATAAGAGGACAGTCTATAGAATTATTGCAAATTTTAAATTAAAACATAATTGTACAGATAAATCGACGTGAGGCAAGGGAAGGAACACCAAATTCTTTTAGTAAAGTGTTATGGTCAAAGCCATGTTCAGGGTAAATTTTATATGTTTTATAATAAAGATATTTCAGAAATTTTCACTGAACTTCTCTATCGCATCAGAGTTGTTGATTTGATGAGGATACCAAATAATCGAACCATATTCTAATTTTGAATGTACATTAGAATAGTACATGGAAAGAAGTGCATTGTTAGAATTGAATTGTTTACAATTTCTCAGTATCAAACCTAAAGATTTAGGTGCCCTATTACAAATATCAGTTATATGATCTGTGAAAAACATACTAGAATCAAATAAAACTCCTAAATCTGAAATTTCATTACATCTATCAATGCTGGTGTTAGAGATTTTATAATCAAAATGTATTGGAACGCGCTTATGTGAAAAACTAAAAATCTTGCACTTTGATATATTTAAATGTAATTTGTTATAGACACACCAAGAGTGAAAAGAGTCAAGTTGAGATTGTAATAATAAGCAGTCATTAATAGAATTTATTTTGAGATATAGTTTGAGATCATCTGCAAATAATAAATGTGGACGGCTAATAATTTCAGATATGTCATTAATAAAAATAATAAATAGTAGTAGACCAAGAATGGATCTCTGAGGAACACCTGAACTGATATTTTCAATATTGCTCAAGAATCCATTAAGATAGACAAACTGTTTACGATTATGAAGATAACTCTTAAAAAAATAAATAAGTGAAGAATTAAGATCAATGTTAGATAATTTAGTAAGAAGAATGTTATGATCAATTTTGTCAAAAGCTTTACTTGAAATCAGTGTAAATAACATCTAACAACTTGTCCATTAGTGTCAAGATTCTCAGCTATATATTGTTTAATACAGATTAAATTTGTTATCGTAGAACGGGCAGGCATGAATCCATGTTGATTAGTAGAAATTAAAGTTGTAACAGAAGGAATTAGTTCTCTATAAATAATTTTTTCAAATACCTTAGCAAAGTTTGATAATAATGATATCGGCCTGTAATTAGTAATGTTTGATGTAACGCCTTGTTTAAAAGTTGGAACTAATTGTGCAATTTTCCAACAATTTGGAAAAGTGGATCAGATAGAGCAGATAAGCAATCACGTGTAAAGAAACATGGAATACCATCGAAACCAAATATTTTGGAGTTCCTAAAACTTGCTATTGCAAGTTGCACAGTACAAGAATCAATTACACCTATATCAATCATGATTCTATCATTATGACCAAATAAAATGAGTATGTCAAGCTTAGGCTGATAAACACTAATAAAGTAAGAATTGACTGCATCAACAATAGCATCAGGAGAATCATAATATTTGTCTAGATAGCACAATCTATTAGGAATAATAATAATAATTATGTTTTATATTATTTTTATTCTCTACCTGAATTTTCGATGGCACGTTATAACCCATAGCATAAACACCTCTAGCCAAATCATCTTTTATCTTCAGCTCTTCGAATTTTTTACAAGAATATAATGGTGATGAAGGATCTTGACGCCGAATCTCAACTTCTTCCTTCCTTGAAACACTCAGACCTTTACGGACGATTTTTTGCAGGAGGGAAATCTCATCTTTGCTAAATGGTAAAGTACATACATTAACACATACTTTAGTTAATTGTATTTAAGAAGTCCACTATCTTTCATTACCTCACAGTATCGGGTACATCATCTTGAGCATTGGCATTACCATTATAAACTTTTTTCTGTAGGTCTAACGACGAAACCTAATAAAACATCCATTGGTAATAAATAAAGTGTACTTCAAGGCTTAATTAGTGTTTTATCTCAATTCTAACCTTTGTTGACAATTCTTTCTCGGCGTCGGGCCATTCAGCGCGGGTAGTCATTTTTTAGCAAATTCTGATAAAATAAACAGACAACGTTCGCGTGATAATAGTTTTTAACTATTTTTCAACCGATATTAGTTGACTTTTTTGACTAATAGCGCGATACGTGTTTTGTATTCGAAGTTTCACAATAAATCGCTCGAAACAAATGAAAACGTAGAGCATAATAGCGCAATAGATGGATGCACAGTGAAAACTGTCAAATGAATAGAGCAACAGGCAGTTTTGGCGGGAAGATGTAGTAATTCAAATAATTTGAAAATTAACTTTCAATAATTAAGTAAGGAATCAGAAGGTTTACGCTCTTTTTGTGCTTCTTGGTTTTAATTAGAGCAAACGATTTTAAAATTATTAAAGTGGTAATTTTTTGTAGCCAAAAATTCTACATCGATTTTAAAAACAAAAAACTATTCGAAAGACGTAATTTGGAAATCGTATTTATCTGCATATCTAAATTTCAATTTCGTTTAAGTATGTCAATTATTACACATTTTGGAAGTTTTTGCAATTAGCCTCAAGGTAAAATGCCACAAAGCCAATTTCACCTAGTTATTAATAGTTATAATAATTATTATTATTATTTATCTATGATAGAAATAGTCATATAATAAAATAATAATAATAGTCGTATAATTCATTCTATCAAATTAATAATTTTTAGTTACTTTTTTATATATAAAAATTAAGTTACATTGGATTATAAATATATGTGCTTGAATATATATATATATATATATATATATAATATATATTTAATTTTATTTATTAACTTCCCGTAGGGTAAGTTATTGTAATGGGCCGAAAATCGAAATTGAAAATTTTTACATTTCTCGACGTTTTGAAGGTTTCTGAACGTTTTGGCATACCTAAAAAAAAAAATGGATGTGTGTGTGTGTGTGTATGTATGGATACAAATTTCCAGTCACGTTTTCGGGCGCACGGATCAACCGATTTGAATGGTTCAAAGAACATTCGATTTCTATTGATCGGGAAAAGAGCTGATTAGTTTTTGGCGAAGGCAGGTCCAGCCGTTTCGGAGATACGGAGCAAAGAGTGCAGAAAATAGAAATCGACTTTTTGAGAGAACGGAGTATCCGATTTGAATGATCTAAAAACATTCAATTAGTAATGATTGGGAGAAGCATCTATTAGTTTTTTGCAAAGGCAGGCCCAGCCATTTCGCAGATACGGAGCTAAATATGTAAAAAATGGCAGTTTTTGAGAGAACTAAGCGTCCGATTTAAATGATTCAAAGAACTTTATGCTTGTCTTAACAAAATAATTGATTTTGGAAAAAAAATTTGTATAATTTTTTTTCTTTTTTTTTTAGTTTTTTTTGTATCTCCAAAATAATTCAGATTTTATTTTCATTCTGAATAAAGTTCTAATATAACTTAAACAAATAATTTTAAATTTGCAATTCAGTTTATATACTTCTTATAAATATTAGACAACGTTACAATATTCCAATATTCAATATTCCTCGAACATTTCGTTACGGTACGGAAAGTTCCAGCAATTTTTCTTAAGGCACGATGCCATACACACCCCACTAATTTATTTATTTATTTGATATAATTCATACATACTGTATCTCAGTCAGACAATTGTTCTGGTATGAGAGATCGCAGCAATTATAACAAAAATAAAATCTATATTTTATGTAACTTTAATTAATATTTTTACAGAACAGAAATAATATAGTATTTAAAATAAGTAATTTTATCTCGTTTATTTCATTTACCTCTTATGTAATTTTACAATTTAATTTTGAAATTGTTTATTATATATATATATATATATATATTTATATATATATACATTTATTCACGAAAAGTGATTAATAAAATATAAATCTTAATGCAAAATCATCAAATATTACAATTTTCAAAATAAACACGATTTCAAATAGTTGTCATTTTTTTTTCCGTTAGAGGCGCTAGCTGTCATATCGACTGTCACATCTATATATCGTTTCTCTCTGTGCGCTCGTCTAGTTTGTTTGTCATCCCAAAAAACCGAACCGAACAATTTGACTCATTTTATTTTTTATTTTCCACACAATTTACTATCTATTTAATTAAATATTGTGCAAAATGTACGCCGATATAATGAACCCGCAAGCAGGACCCGAATGGGTCACGTCAGAACACAGCACTGGTGTAGGTTATAAAATTGTACACAAATGACTTTGCAAAATTCTAAATGAAAATTAATATTATCCTTTCCAGACTTCTATTATGGCTGCAGAATTCGATGGGGGTGTTGTGATAGGTGCTGATTCCCGGACAACAACGGGGTAAAATTATTTTGATTGAAATGTGATGTACGAGGTGATTTGTGGTTAATGGTTGTGCTTGTTCTTGTAGGGCTTATATTGCTAATCGAGTCACTGACAAGTTGACAAGGATCACTGATCATATCTATTGCTGTCGATCTGGTTCTGCGGCTGATACTCAAGCCATTTCGGATATTGTTGCGTACCATTTAGGATTTCACAGGTAATAATTAATAATAACACATTGTAAGGCATTATAAAACCTGTCATAGCGTGCTGGGTATTTTTACCTGATTGAATTTTACTAACTTAGGATACACATGATATTAAGAGAGTTAATTGGTAGTTTTTGTTTAGATTCTGGTTTACTTTCTTGCTAATTATTTTAATTCTTCGGTAATTAGTAATATGTACATTTAGGACGTTTTTTTAACATTTCTTACAAAGATTTACTTCCGAACATTTTAATTTGTATACATCAGTAAGAAGTAGATAAAATTTACTTAAATCTATTATAAACTATTATATACACTTAAATAATGAAATTTTGATTAAAACTTATTGAAACACGCTATTTTCTGGTAGTAATATGTGAATATTGGACATTTTTTATGTTTCTTTGAATATGATGAAAATTTGCCCCGGCCACTAAGTTTTATATACATCAGCAAAAACTAGATAAAATTTACTAAAATTTAGTAAGAAAATTTGTATACACATGGATATTGAAATTTTGAATAATTCGTAGTTGAAATGTGGACTTTAATGCATTATATGGATTTTTTTTTTTTAATTTCAATAATTATTACAACTATTAAATTATTAACATCTAGTAATATTCATAAATAATAACATAAATTTAAATGAATAAAAGTGCAAAGGATAACATTTACATGAAAATAATATTCGTAATATAATTTGATATAAAATAGAAGCAAATAATAATAAAAATAAAATTAATAAATAATATAAATAAAATTTCTGAATAATAAAATAATACTAGAAAAATAATAAAATATAACAAATTAACAATAATAGAAATAGTAAGATAATAATAATAAGGATAATAATTATAATAATGTTAGCGTTTACAAATTTATGAGATCATTGGGAATTTTTCGTTTTAGCCTTGTTGGGCGCGCTTCTGAGAATATATTTTGTGCCAAGTAATTTGGGTGTTCGTCAATTCTTCTTTTATAGTATTATATGGATTTAGTACTTTTTTTTTTACTCTTTTGAAATAACTTACAATTTTCATTCCGGACATTATAAATTGTATACATTAGTAAAAACTAGATAAAATTTACTAGAATCTACTAAAAACTATTTTATATACTTGCATATTGAAATTTTGAAAAATTCGTAGTTGAAATGTGGACTTTAATGCATTATATGGATTTAGCTTTTTTTTACTCTTTTTGAAATGACTTATAATTTTCATTCCGGACATTATAAATTGTATACATTAGTAAAAACTAGATAAAATTTACAAGAATCTAGTAGAAGCTCTTATATACACTTGCATATTGAAATTTTGAATAATTCACAGTTAAATTGCAGGCTTTAGTATTTAACAGTTTGCATTATATGGATTTAGGACATTTTTTTACTTTTTTTTGAAATAACTTTTAATTTTTATTCTGTACATTATATTTTGTGTTCATTAGTAAAAACCAGATAAAATTTACTATAATTTGCTAGAACATTTTCTTACATTTCTTCAAATAACTTTTAATTTTTTTTTACATTAGTAAAAACTAGATAAAATTTTCTAGAATCTAGTGGAAACTGTTTTATACACTTGGATATTGAAATTTTGAATAATTCACAGTTAAATTGCAGGCTTTAGTATTTTAACAGTTTGCATTATATGGATTTAGGACATTTTTTTACTTTTTTTTGAAATAACTTTTAATTTTTATTCTGTACATTATATTGTGTGTTCATTAGTAAAAACCAGATAAAATTTACTAAAATCTAGTAAAAACTGCTTTGTACACTTGTATATTGAAATTTTGAATAATTCACAGTTGAAATGCAGACTTTAGTATTTACATAATTTGCTAGAACATTTTTTTACATTTCTTCAAATAACTTTTAATTTTCATTCTAGACATTATAGTTAGTATACATTAGTAAAAACTAGATAAAATTTTCTAGAATCTAGTGGAAACTGTTTTATTCACTTTGATATAGAAATTTTGAATAATTTGTACTTATAATGTGGTCTTTTGAATTTCCATAATTTGCTTTATTTGGAATTAGGACATTTTTTTGCTTTTCTTCAAATAACTTTTAATTTTCTTCTCGGACATTATAAAGTGCTTGCATTAGTAAAAACTAGATAAAATTTATTAAAAACTACTAAAAACTATTATATACACTTGTATATTGAAATTTTGACTAATTCACAGTTGAATTGCAGACTTTAGTATTTACATAATTTGCTAGAACATTTTTTTACATTTCTTCAAATAACTTTTAATTTTCATTTTGTACATTATAATTTTTATACATTAGTAAAAACTAGATAAAATTTACTAAAATCTAGTAAAAACTGTTATATATACTTGGGTATTGAAATTTTGAACAAAATGAGGCTCTCTTATAATGCGCATGCAACTTTCATGTTAATTTGTGTTGTATATATCTTTCAAAATTTTATTCTACATTTATAATATAACGTATAATTCTATATTTATATAACGTATAATTTTATTATACATTTTATTTCCATATTGTAACAAAATAAATATAGAAATAAATTTTATATTTTGTAATAAAAATAATTACAAATTACAAGGAAGATCTTATAACATTTTTGCAATTTAATATTTATTTAGATTTCTAATAACAAACATTTATTTATAAAAATGTATAAAATAATAGCTACACATTTGCTGTATAAATATACAAATTTATATATAAAATATATTATTCTTTTGCTTTTTTTTATTTAGTATGGAATTAGGAGAGAAGCCTCTTGTAAAAGCAGGTGCATCCGTCTTCAAAGAGCTGTGTTATAACTACAGGTAACAAAAAAAATATATATATTTTATATATATATATATATATATATATATGCATATTATTTATATTTATATATATTTTTGTATTTATATTTATATTTTTTTTAAGAGATTCTTTAACTGCCGGAATACTAGTAGCTGGTTGGGATCATAGGAAAGGGGGCCAAGTTTATTCTGTACCGATTGGTGGTATGTGCGTTAGGCAAAAGTGTTCGATTGGAGGCTCTGGTAGCTCTTATGTTTATGGTTTCGTGGATGCTAATTATAGAGAAGGCATGAGCCAGGAGGAGTGTGTTGAATTTGTCATTAAAAGTAAGTGAGAGGAATACTTTATTATATATATATATATATATATATATATATATATATATATATATAAAATTTTTGTGTCTGAAACGGATTTACGGGTTTTTAGCAAATTTAATATGCGTATTCAGTAGGTCTGAGAATTGGTAACAATCTACTTTTCATACTCTTAAGTGATAAGGGTTGTTAACCCTTATTTATTTCGTAATTTTTGGACGGGATTTTTTGTTTTTATTTTTCATAATGTGGCATTAAAAAATATATACAACCCAAGATTTTCGCTTTTTTATCACCAACCCCTATTGTTTTTTTTTATAATCATTTTAGTGTTTCAATCATTTTTTATTCCGCATTCAGTCATTGAATATTTTTGATATAACCTTAGTTCAGTTTTTTTTTTAGTTTATCAAAATGTTTGCATGTTATTTCAAATTTTTACTAAGGGTTTGTCCAATCGTAATGTGCTTCAAAATTGTGGGTTCAATTTTTTTAATTTAAATTTTTTAATGTGGATGTGATAAAATACATACAACTGTTTTTACTTTAAAAAACTATTTTATCAAGGGTTGGTGACTCCTATTTTTTAACATTTTGGAATCAATTTTCTTTTAGTTTAATTTTACCTTTATTTTTTTATTTTTTTTATTTTTTTTATATAATTTTAGTCAAGATTTTTTTGATAATATGAGAATGATTAAATGTTACTTTAAAAAATAATTTTTGTTTATTAAGGGTTGTCCAACCCTAATACTTTTTTAAACTTTGGGGTCATTTTTTTTATTTAATTTTTTTTTAATTTGGAATTGACTATATACATACAACTATTTTTACTTCAAAATACTATTCGTTTTTATTAAGTTTTGTCCACCCTAACATTTTTTTGTAAATTTTATATCTTATTTTTTCCATTTTAATTTTCTATAATTCGAAATTGAAAAATACACTAAACTCTCTTTACTTTGAATAACTATTTATTTTTATCAAAGGTTGCCACCCCTAACTTTTTTAAAAATTTGAAATCAATTTGTTTTTAATTTTAATTTTCATAATGCGGAATTAAAAATGTTTACAAATCTAAATTTTCAACTTCTTTCACCATTTTTTATTTTATTTTTTAGTAAATTTTAAATTATATTTTCTGACCTAGGCATGAATTTTATTTTAAACAAATGCGATTTATTTTAACAAGAGTTGCCTACCCCTCCCATTTTCTCATTGTACAAATAGGGGTGGACTAAGCTTGATAAAAATGAATAGTATTTTGAAGTAAAAAGAATTGTATGTATTTTATCATGTTAAAAAAATTAAAATAAAGAAAATTGGCCTCAAAATTATATAAAAGGTATTAGGATTAAAGTATAAGGGACAACCCTTGGTAAGAGTAAATACTATTTTAAAGTATAATTTAAGCTCAAAAATCTGAATTAAAATTATATAAAAAATATTCAATGACTGAACGCGGAATAAAAAATGATTGATTGAATTACTATAATAAAAAAATAGTGGTTGGTTATAATGAAGTCATAATTTAAGATTGTATTTTAATGCCTCATTATAGAAAAATAAAAATAAAAAAAATCGTTTTTTTTTTTTAATTAAGGGTGCATTACCTTTAAGATTTAGGGCGATGAAATATAAATGTCTGATTCTTACACCCGCCCAATATGCACACAAAATTTCATAAGACACAAGAACTTTATATATATATATATATATATATATATATATATATATATACGAGGTCTGTTCAAAAAGTACCCGGAATTTTCGTTTTTTCAAAAAAATATTTATTTATTCGTCTACATTAATGTGGTCCCCTTCAAAGTAGTCCCCCCAGATATAATACACTTATGCCAGCGTTTTTTCCAATTTTCGAAGCACCCTTGATATTCACTTTTTGATATGTCCTTGAGCACTCTCAGCGATTTTCTTCAATCGAGGAAAACCGCCGTCCTTTCATGGGTCTCTTCAACTTTGGGAATAGGAAAAAGTCACACGGAGCCATATCTGGTGAATATGGAGGTTGGGGCATGACTACGGTATTGTTTTTGGCCAAAAAATTACGAACAAGCAACGACGAGTGAGCAGGTGCGTTATCGTGGTGCAACAGCCATGAATTGTTTTTCCATAAATCGGAGCGCGTTTTTTCGGATTGCTTCACGCAAACGTCGCATCACTTCAAGGTAATACTCCTTATTAACCGTACGACTTGTGGTAAGAACTCTTGATGCACTATGCCGTTATAATCAAAAAAAAACAGTAAGCAAAACCTTGACATTCGATCGAACTTGACGTGCTTTTTTCGGTCTTGGCTCACCTGGGTTCTTCCATTCAGACGATTGGGCTTTGGTTTCGACATCATAACCGTACACCCATGTTTCATCACCAGTTATGACCCTTTCAAGCAAACTTGGATCGTTGTTGACGTCATTTAACAGCTCTTGAGCGATGTTCATGCGATTGCTTTTTTGGTCAAAATTTAGCAGTTTTGGAATGAATTTTACTGCCACTCGTTTCATGCCCCAAAACATTTGAAAAAATGTTATGACATGAGCCAATTGATATGCCAACTTCATCAGACAACTTCTCTAATTGTGATTCGGCGATCATTCATAACCATTTTTTCCACTTCTTTCACATTTTCATCGTTTGTTGACGTGCTGGGTCGACCGGAGCGTTCGTCATCTTCAACGTCTTCGCGGCCATCTTGGAAACTTGTTTTTTTCATAGCAGACTCACCATAGGCTTTTTGTAACATTTCACACACTTTGTTACACTTTATTTCATTTTTTACGCAAAATTTAATACAAATTCTTTGACTTTTCAATTCTTCCATTGTAAAAATCGCCGAGCTCAGAAAAACACGTCGAACCTTAGCGACTACCACAGACAAAGTAAACAGTGAATATAGCTGAAAATTTCATCATACTTTAGGGGCATGTATACCAACACAAAAAAAAAAAAATTTGACAATCAGACACTCCAGACCCGCGAAATTTAAAAATTCCGGGTACTTTTTGAACACACCTATATATATATTAACAAAGCCTAGTAATCTGGCATAACTTCAATAAAAAACATGAATTTCTTTAAAAAAAATTATTTTAAATCCATACGTTTTGGCTATAATCCTAGCCTTCATTCAGTGGAAACTAAAAATAAAATAAAAACTAAAAACAATTGAATCTCAGTGAAAAGAAAAAAATAAAATAGTAAATAGTACTTACAATTAGTAATCTTAGTGTTCAATTGGAAAATTTTAATAATCCATGGTATCAGGTTATGGTAATGCACTACACTATTACACACTACACATTAAACTTGTAATTACACAATATTTTCACAAAATACTAATTAAAAAAAATCACAATTGGATAGTGTGTTGTTCGTAGACTGGTTGAAGATATAATGGAGAAAGGACTTTTTTAAAAAAATATTTTTTACCAAGATTCTACACATATTTTTATTGTTTTGTGAGAAATTTGCAAATACTATCTAAATAAAAGAGATTTGTGTCGCACAGCGTGTTAAGTTCATTCCGTTTATTTATTGTTTTATTGCTGTAAATAGTTAAAAAAGATCCTTCTAAAATTCTTCGTTTGAATAAATTTTGTTCGAATTGTAGTACAGTCGGGTTAGAAAAGTCCATATTGTCTCTGTAATTTGGAAAAAAGTGCTAAACCTTTCATCCACATTTAAGCTAATACCACCGAACCTATTTTAAAAAATCAAAAACTGTTCGAAAGATATTAGTTGGGAATGATACTGATTAATACTAGGTGAAAATCTACTGAGCCGTTTTCTTGTATTCAACTGTTGAAAAAAAAAATTAAGCCGATTTTCATGGAATTTTTTTGGAGATATATATCATGATCTTATAGAACTTACTGAAATATTACGGTCTTACGACAAGTAATTTAATTTAAAAAATTCATCAAAGTTTGAGAAAATGAGTAGTTTGTTTGACGTTTGTTAAAAATAAAATTAGACGATAGAGTATTTGGTCTTAATAAAAATACTAAATCACTAAAGTCCTGCGGAAACTGGTTTAAATATAAAAATTGTTGATTTTTAAAAATTTGCTTTTAGAAAATACTCGGAGTTAACGTGTTCGTTCGTTTTCAATTATGTATAATAAGTCCACTCGGAGTACGTTTAATCACTTATAAATTAATTTATATTTTATTGATTAAGTCGATTATCTACACATATCGGGAAGTTCATGTAACTTGCCTCAAGGCAAAATACCAATACCAACTAGTTTTATTTTTAGTTTCCACTGAATGAAGGCTAGGATTATAGCCAAAACGTATGGATTTAAAATAAATGTTTGAAAGGAATTCATGTTTTTTATTGATGTTATGCCCGATTACTAGACTTTGTTAATACATATGTCAACATCAAATTCAGAATCATACAAAATATATATATATATATATATATATATATATATATATATATATATATATACGAGGTGTGTTCAAAAAGTACCCGGAATTACTAATAATTAAATTTCGCGGGTCTGGAGTGTCTGATTGTCAAAATTTTTTTTTTATTGTGTTGGTATACATGCCCCTAAAGTATGATGAAATTTTCAGCTATATTCACTGTTTACTTTGTCTGTGGTAGTCGCTAAGGTTCGACGTGTTTTTCTGAGCTCGGCGATTTTTACAATGGAAGAATTGAAAAGTCAAAGAATTTGTATTAAATTTTGCGTAAAAAATGAAATAAAAGTGTTGCAAGTGCAAAAATTCACCAGATATGGCTCCGTGTGACTTTTTCCTATTCCCAAAGTTGAAGAGACCCATGAATGAAAGGACGGCGGTTTTCCTCGATTGAAGCAATAAAGGCCGAATCGCTGAGAGTGCTCAAGGACATATCAAAAAGTGAATATCAAGGGTGCTTCGAAAATTGGAAAAAACGCTGGCATAAGTGTATTATATCTGGGGGGGACTACTTTGAAGGGGACCACATTAATGTAGACGAATAAATAAATATTTTTTTGA